TGCTAAGTGCTTTTCATACATTCTGTCATCTAGCTCTCAACAATAAAAGCTTAGAGGGCTACTACTTAAAAGAAATTTTTTTAACAGAAAATAACAATTGTGGATGAGGATGAAGAGGAATTGAAATGTGTGTACATGGCTGGTAGGAATGCAAAATGGTGTAGCTGCTGTGGAAAACAGTATAAAGGTTTCTCAAAAAAATTAAAAATAGAATTACCATATAACCTAGGAATTCCACTCCTGGGCATACACCCAAACGAATTGAAAGCAGGGACTTGAACAGATACTTGTACCTGCATGTTTATAGCAGCATCATTCACTATAACCAAAAGGTGGAAAACAACCCAGTGTGCATCCATCAATGGCTGAATGGACAGGCAAAATGTGCACACTGGAATACCATTCAGTCCTGAAAAGGAAGGAAATCCTGACACGTGCTGCAAACATGAATGAACCTTGAAGACACCATGATAAGACAAGTCAGTCACAAAAAGACAAAAGAGTGTATGACCCCACTCATATGAGGTACCCAGAGTTGTCAAATCCATACAGACAGAGTAGAACAGTGGTTTGTTTCCAGGGTCTGGGAGGAGAGGAGGAATGAAGAGTTGTTGTTTAATGGGGACAGGGTTTCAGTTTTGCAAGATAAAAAGAGTTCTAGAGGTGGATGGTAGTGATGGTAGCACAACAATGTAAGTGTATTTAACAGCATGCTTAAAAATCATTAAGATGATGGGGCGCCTGGGTGCCTCAGGTGGTTAAGCTTCCGACTTCATCTCAGGTCTTGATCTCATGGTTTGTGATCAGGCTCTCTGCTGTCGGAGCAGAGCCCGCTTTAGATCCTCTGTCTCCCTCTCTCTCTGCCTCTCCCCCTCCTCAAAAATAAATAAACATTTAAAAATAATAATAGGGGCACCTGAATGGCTCAGGCAGTTGAGTGTCTAACTTCAGCTCAGGTCATGATTTCACAGTTCATGGGTTCAGGCCTCACCATGGGCTCTGTGCTCATAGCTCAGAGCCTGGAGCCTGCTTCAGATTCTGGGTCTCTCTCTCTCTGCCCCTCCCACACTCATGCTCTGTGTCTCTCTCTCCCCAAAATAAATAAGCATTAAAATGTTTTTTAAATGATAATAATTAAAATGGTAAATTATATATGTATATATTTTACCATAACAAAAATAAAATCCCACGAATGAAGTGCTGTTATTTTGCTGATGTAACAATTGTAGCACAAAAATCATGCTGCAAAGAGGCAGAGCCAGGATTCTCAGTGGGTAGGTAGAGCTCAAGGTCTGGGATCTAGCCTCCCCCGTCCACCACTGTCGACCACTGACCATCCAGCACCCACTATCTACCATCTACCATAGATCATCTACTTGGTGGGAAACAAAAGACAACCAGAAGATAAGAAGTAAAAACAATAAAAATATCCACTCTTGCTCTGGGCACTCAGGGATCCCAAGCGGCTAAAAGAGTTGACATGACCTTCTCCTCAGAGCACTAATTACAGAGACTAACCCTCTATCCCAAACCAGTTGTAAAATGACCACGAATTAGTAGTCATCTTGCTCTATAACATGACGTGGAATTTGAAACCAAACCTCACCGAACCAGAGGAAATCCTAATAATTCTCTGATTTCCCAGACTTTAGCGCCTTCCCTGTGCCGACAGAAGCTGCCATCTGTCATTCCCAACTTGGTCTCTCCATCCAGCACCTCTGTGCCAGCCCCCTCAATGGTCATGGAAGGTGTCACGTGAGCAAACAAACAAAGGAAACAGAATTGTCCAAAAGCAGCAGATTTTTTCATCCCTGGTGAAACGGAGTCAACTGAAGGCTACCTGCAAATTGGTCATCTTCATAAGATCACTGGGTACTTGATGACTTAGTCTATTTACCCAGATTGGACAACTGTCTGCACGTGTCTTGGTGGTGGCAGTGGCTGAGACCCCTGCCCCACACTTACCCACACAACAGCCATGCTTCTGTATCTCCAGGTTCTGACCTCCACCACTCACACTTGGGAAGGAGAAAGGGGTTGGGGGAGCCACACGCCTGTCAGAACAGCCCCCCACCCAGGGTCACAGCACTAAGACAGCTCATTGAAACCGCGGTATTTAAAACCAAACGAAAGAGAGAAGGAGTCAAGTAGAGAACACTGAAAAGTAAACATTACAAAACTTTCCAAACCAGAAGCCCAGAGGCACATTTTCTTTGGGGAGAGTCCAGCTATTTGTTCTGCCTTCCAGGAGTGTGATGTTTGTTTAACTGGAAAAGACAGCTTGACTTAATTGAGTGTGTGTGTGTGTGTGTGTGTGCACGTGTGTGCACGTGCACATGCGTGTGTGTGTGCACATGGAAAGGCAGAGGTGAGGAGGGGCTTCTCTAGCTAGGCAGAATTTCTGCTCTCTGGGGCAGAAACAGGCCACACTCTAAGGCCAATGACTGAACATAGGTACAATCTGGGTTTCTAGGAAAGAAGGAAGGGGTAAATAACCATTGCTAAATGCCTACTTTGACTGGGCAGATCTATGCCAAACACATACACGGACACATGTATTTCATAAAACCCATGCTTGTCCTTACTACCTGTGAGGTACTCTGATATTTTCTATTCCGTTGTTTATATTTAATTTTTAATTGAGGTCTGGCACACCACAATAAAGTGTACAGATCTCAAACATATAGCTTGCTGGATTTTTTTCAGGGTTCCTAATTTTTTTTTATAAATCCCTTTATTACGATATGATTTACACAGCACAAAATTCACCCATTTCAAGTGTACACCTCAAAAGTTCTTAGTACATTTCCTGAGCTGTGCAGCCATAACCATAAGCTAATCTTGGAACATTTAGCACTTTCATCAGCGCAAAGAAAAACCAGTATCTGTTCTATTTTATTTACTTATTTATTTTTTTTTTAGCTCTGGTCACAACCCCTCAGATTTATTTCACCAGCGGGTCACAGCTACAGCTGATAAAACCTGTATCAGACGTTTTACTATGATATCTCTCTTGCTCCTCACAAGAGTCCTGAAAGGCAGGCAGTATTCTGTCCAAGTAGCTGGAGGGCCACGAGGCAGCTGTCACAATAATTCCAAGCTCACAGCATTCAGAAGGAATAGAGGCTGGTCAGGAGAACAAACCAGCCCCACACGGAAAGCCCTGTTGTTCAGAGACACTGAGATTGGTGACTCATTGCACAGAACGGATTACAATCAGAAGTGTTGCCAGACAAACCAAACTCCAACCTCGTTGCATGGAACTCAGCAATGACATCCATAACCTGGGTGGAGCTGGGGTGACATGTGCCATAGCAGGAAAGCCAACAGAGCTATTGGGACCTCAAACTCTTGAAATGTGCAGCAGATGACCATGTTTCAGAAGCCGTAAACCATTAAAAAAAAAACCTTCTATTTTTATAGCATTAAGCTATCGTTATCAGGAAAACAGAGCATCCCAGGGTAGCTGAGGAGAGGATGAGCAACAGAGGGTTCTGAAGAAAGTCCATGTAAACCTTTTCCTACTTCCCTTCACTTTTTAGGTGCATTCTACAAACCTCACCCTAAATGATCTAGAGGCTGTAGGTGTGCAACAAAAGGCAGACATTCCATCCCAGGTGCCACAAATTATGAAGCCACACACTTGCCCACTGGGGCCGCAGGAGGAGTTCAAAGACTAGAAGAAAGGAAAACCCAGAGGGCCTATGTTCTGGATCTCTGACAAACTGAGTGATCCCAAGGTGATCGGATCCTTGAAGGATGGAGACCAATGGCTGAGGGACAAAAGGTAGGATGCAGGGAACAGAGAAGTTAATGGAGAGCCTTCCACCATACACAGGAGTGCAATTGAAAAGGCATACCAGGGGCGCCTGGGTGGCTTAGTCGGTTAAGCGCCGACTTTCGCTTAGGTCATGATCTCGCGGTCATGATCTCGCGGTTCGTGGGTTCGAGCCCCGCGTCGGGCTCTGTGCTGACTGCCAGCTCAAAGCCTGGAGCCTGTTTCAGTCTGTGACTCCCTCTCTCTCTCTGACCCTCCCCTGCTCACGCTGTCTCTCTCTCTCCTAGAAANNTCTCTCTCTCTCCTAGAAATAAATAAAAAAACTTTAAAAAAAAACAAAAAAAAAAAAGAAAAGAAAAGAAAAAAAGAAAAGGCATACCATATTCATCTACCAGTTGGCTTGATAGGTAGTAAAAGAATGAAGGTCGTTGCAGGGAGGCAAGTAGATAAAAATTTCTCCTTCCAATCTAGCCCCATCCTCTGTAAGTAACTAAACTGGGGTCCCCTTCAAGATCCCAGTTTCCTGTTCCATAGCCGACTTGATTCATGCAATTAACAAGCATTTCTTGAACACCTTTTAAGTGCCGCCGGTTGGGAGAGAGAGCACAGAGCTCTTTCATTTTCCTCTAGAAACTTTCTGTTGGTCTGAAGTTGAGGACAGTGTCTTAAGATGGTTATGCAGAAAAATCACCAATTTGGATACTGGGGAAGAATCAAGTTTTAAAGCTGTGCCTGAGAGCACTCTCCACAATAGCTAAAACATGGAAAGAGCCCAAGTGTCCATCAATGGATGAATGGATCAAGAAGATGTGGTTTATCTATACCATGGAATACTACATGGCAATGAGAAACAATGACATCTGGCAATGTGTAGCAACATGGATGGACCTTGAGGGTGTTATGCTGAGCGAAATAAGTCAGGCAGAGAAGGACAAATATCATATGTTTGCACGTATAGGAGGATTAGGAGAAACTTGACGGAGGAACAAGGGGGAGAAGAAGGGCGGAAATGGTGGGGGAAAGGGAGAGAGGCAAACCATGAGAGACTCTTGAATGCTGACAAAAACTGAGGACTGATGGATGTGGGGGGGAGGGGGGGAAGGGCATGGAGGAGGGAACTTGTGGGGATGAGCACTGAGTGTTATGTGGAAACTAATTTGACAATAAACTATTTGTAAAAAAATAAAATAAAATAAAATAAATAAATAAAGCTGTGCCTGAGAGCCTGCAAACCCTACCCCCAACCTGAACACATTCACATCTTGGGCTCACCTGTGCTCCACCTCCTACTGCAACACGGGGTTCCCACAGAAGGGCAGAAGCATGAGCGGAGCAAGGCCAGGGAGGCAGCATCCAAACAGACCAGGGCTGACCAATGCACCAGCAGTGAATCTGGCTTCATCACACGCTTGCTTTAGGATGGGGTTGACATCTGTTTCGTGACCTGCTTCGTGGCCATGAGGGCTCCTGCTGCAAAATGCAGGACAGGGTTAAAGAGCACAGCCTGATCCCATAAAACAGAGCGGAGCTGGCCTTGGTGGGTTTGAGCCTCCCTTCCCCGGGAGCATGGGACACTGACACAGACAGGCAGTAAAAAGCAGGGGGAGGGGGCGCCAGAGCCCTCAGTCCCTTCAGATCCAGGTGCCTGTGTTGCCAGATCTCCCTAGGATATGGGTTCCTTTGAACTTTTCAAAGGTATGGAAGAAAGCCTGGCTTTTTATGAGTTGTGCCGCAGGCAGCGGAAATGGCTGAGTGCAGAGATGGAGGCCAATTAGAGGCAAAGGTCTGTGAGTTGCTCTCCAGAAGGGCTTGCTGCAGCCTGCCTCAGGGGTCCGAAGGCCAAGGCTCCAGTCCTCACTCCTGAGGGCTCCTGGACAGGGGGCTCCTGGACAGAGGCTGGTGGCCCTTCCAAGGTGTCCTCTTTTGGATTGAGTCTGCTTTTTGACGCCTCTCATTGACAAACTCAGGAAGATGGCTGCTTGGCTCGGATCCCCCATCCATCAGGTGCTGTGAGAAACGTCTGAGTGTGGACAACATCGATCCTGGAGGTGGGAGGAAATGGCACATTTTTTTTCTTGAGCGACAGACACTGTCTTCCCTGGGACTCCTGGGGCCACGGAGCTCTCTTGCAGGGCTCTCCCACCTGCGATCACTTACACGCTCTGTCCCACAGACTGGCCGGCCCCACATGGGTTGAGAGCTTTGCAGGGACACAGGACTTCCAGGGCTAAAAGTTACTTGTTCCGTGCACAGGGCTTTTTACCCCTCTCCTAAGAGATGCTGTTTCCTTTGGAAACAAAGGAAATCTGTCCCTGAGGACAGAAAGCATAGAGAGGGGCCCTCCATTTGCAGAACAAAACCAGCCTCATTTGAGATTCAGAGGACAGAATGCAAGGAGACTTACACTTGTGCCCCAAACCAAACCACCCGGGTCAACCCAGACCTGAACCGGGTCCCCAAGTGAAGCTGAGTGTGGACCCTTAGAAGCCTGACGTCCTCGGCCCCAGCTGGGGCTGTGCCCCTCATTGCGGCCACCACCAGGCTCCCAGACCCCAGAGCAGCCCTGATCACACCTACCCAGGTACCCAGGGATGGGGAGGATGGACACCACCTAGGATAAGGTCCACACAGCACTGCCAGTTCTGTGCATGGGTCCATAAAGAATGATCTGGGGTTTTCTTCTTGCTGACATCCCAAATCTCTGGCAGGGTAGATGCAGTAAGCGCAGGTATGGTGAGAGGCTTGCGGTTCATTTTGCCTTCTTCATGACTAAGCCCCCAGTGAGGTTTGTAGAATGCACCTAAAAAGTGAAGAGAAGTAGGGAAAGGTTTACACCGACTTTCGTCGGAACCTGCTGTTGCTCATCCTCTCCTCCAGCTACCCTGGCCCTGTGGCTCTCGCAGGGGGAGGCTCCATCACAACCAAAGGTATGGGTTCCAGGCCTCAGTTACAGGAAGGAAAGGCAGGGAGAGAACGCAGAGCTGAAGGGAGAGAAAAGGAGGCCGTCGGGCCTGGAGAGAGAAAAGATCCGAGAGAAATGGTGGGGTGCTTCAAAATCGGCTCAGCCTTCACTGAGTAACAACACCTAGCATTCCCTGAATGCCTCCGTGGCTGAGATCTCGATTAGCCACACAGACTCTTCCAGCAACCCCCCCCCCCACCCGGGGCCAGGCTGGATTCTCCAGTTTTACATATAAAGAAACTGTGCCTGAAGGAGTTTAAGCCACTTGCTCAAGGTAGGGTAGCTAGGAAATCTCACCACAGGTACAATGCCGGCAAAGCTCTCGACAGCTGTAACATTCAGCTTTCTGTCTTATAAACTTCTAACTGCATAGTACACAGCGAATCTCCACGCCCAGGGCGGTTTCTATCTTCCCAACGTTAAGATCCACAGGCACCGTCCTTAGGAGAAGCCCTGGCCGGTCTCGAAGCTCCGCCTGGGGCTCGAAGCGGCCGAGTAGCTCCCCCTGCTGGCCACTCCCAAAGCACAGAAAGCACGTTGGGATGGCAACGGGACCCGCATCGAGGACGCTTCACAAAGAAACCGGGACGCTGCAGCCATGCCGAGACGGCTCTAGCTTGGAATGTGTCATTCTGGAGCCCAGAGGACAGAGGGGAGCGGTTCCCAGCGGCTGCTTTCCCAGAGGAATCCTGAGAGGCTGTCCCTAAAATGGAAACGCTCTTTCAGATGGAGAAATCCCGAAGGCGGGTAGACTGTACTCACGCAGTCTGAGTTCAAATACAAAGAAAAGGCAAGAAATGAGAGCAGCTTGGCTAAACGAAAAAAAAATCAGAAAAACCATTCATAGACATACGGCAAATGTTAGCATGTTTGAGCACTTACTGTGTGCTGACCACTGTTCTAAGAGCTTTACCGTTATTATCTCATTGAGGCTTGACAGCAATCCTATGAGATAATATTATGATTAATATATCGGATGTGGAAAATGGGGCACAGTGATGGAAAGTAATTTGTCCAAGGTCACACAGCCAGAAAGTAGTAGAGCAAGGGCAGATCAGAGCAAGGGCAGATACCTAAAGCAAAAGCCCCAGCTGCCTGGGTGGCCTAGTTGGTTAAGAATCCAATTTTAATTTCTGCTCAGATCATGATCTCACAGTTCGTTGGACTGGGCCCTGTGAACAGCTTTGTGCTGACAGTGGGGACCCTGCTTGGGATTCTCTCTCTCACTCTCCCTCTGCCCCTCCCCAGCTTGCACTCACTCTCTCTCAAAATAAACAAACTTTTTTTTTTTTTTAAAGAGGCAAAACCTCTGTGGGAGACAGATTTTATGCTTAAGGAACAAATCAATTCTGCCCTCCTGTGTGTACAGAAATACTGTTTCCAGGTACTTGGTCCGTCTGTTGTTCCGTCTTTATTCTATATCCTTGGTAACAAACAAACAAACAAACAAAGCATTTGTGAGTCCAAAAGTTAAGGTGGTTCATGTCTGGCCACAGTAAAGAGAAAGCCTCATACACTTCCCCTCCCAGAAGTAGACATTCTGCCCCTGAACCTGAAAAGATCAGCTCACCCCCTGAGCTGATCAGCCCACAGGGACAAAGGGGGCAAGCCGGGGCTCCTCGAACCCTAGCCTAGGATAACTGCAATCTAGTAAGTTACTTTCCTGGTTTGTAAAAGGGATTTGGCATTCCAGGGAAGAAAAGAAGGCAAATTGGCCGAGGTGTAGAGAGACATCTGAATCTTATTCCTCGGTTCTTTAGAGCCGCTTAGAGGTCATATTTCCCACTCTGTTTTCTACTAAGGAGATGACGTTGTGCCTACTTGCTTAACAGGAGAGGTAAGTGAGTTCAGGGGCAAAGGTGATGATAGCTGACCTCGGTGTGACTCCTGATTCTTCGGTAAAATATACAGCCTGCTGGAGCTCAGAACTGAGGAGACTAAAGAGAAATAACGTGGCTCCTGGTGTCAATGGCTGGGTGCTCCTGCTTTACAAAAGGGCATTAAAGACACCCTGAATCCCAGAACTCTACCCTAGCAAGAGGGAGGAGTTGATGGGCTGGCGTGGAGGTGGGAGGGTGGCTTCAGGGAAATAAGTTTAAACTTTAAAGCTGAAAACATCCCAGGGATCCTGGCAGGGTTTTAGCGCTTCCCTGTGCCTTTAGATGAGGGACTCACAGCTGATTGCTGACCTTCTGACAGTGTCCCCAGTAAGGGGGGACAGAGCCAAGCTTTTGGCAGCACGCTGGAGCACAGATGTGCCAGGGACGTTCTGTTAACAAAGCACAAAGGATAGAGAAGGAAGGAACAAACCATTCTTGTCCACCAGAGCTCCGTTGTGTTTATCCAACAGGACAGAATTTGTTTCATTAAAGACTAGATCATCACCACCACTGTCGAAGGCAAATCCTTCCCAAGGTCAGACTCTGAATCCTACCCCTGGAGCAAGGATTCTGAGGTTTCTTTTCTTTTCTTTTCTTTTTTAACATTTATTTGTTTTTGAGAGAAAGACACAGAGTGTGAGTGGGGGAGGGGCAGAGAGAGAAGGAGACAGAATCAGAAGCAGGCTCCAGACTCCTAGCTGTCAGCATAGAGCCAGACGCGGGGCTTGAACCCACAAACGGCGCGATCATGACCTGAGCTGAAGCAACACTCAACCAACTGAGCCACCAGGTGCCCCCAGGATTCTGAGGTTTCAATGTCGAGCGCTCAGATCCGTGAGTGAGGGGGAGGGCGCGGCCACGCTGCAGTCTCCTACCCACTCAGTAATCCCTTCTTCCCACTTGTCTGAGCAGAGTGGGAGGGAGGGCCTCCGGAAACCAGCTGGAAGGGAGTTGGCTGGGGCTCCGCTGTCACTGATTTATGAAGGCCTTTCAGGGCCAGAATGACACCATCCACCGTCAACCTACCTCCTGCTAATTTATATTCTCAGAGCTTTAAATCACGGTGACGGCCCCGCAGGCGCTTTGACCATTCCAGGGCTTGCGGGGCCCTGCAGGCTGGCACGCTGCTCTCGTGCCCCCCCCCCGCGGGCCCTCACTGCACCCTCTTCCCTAACCTGCTCCAAACCACTCTCCCTCCCAGCTCCTGGGGCTCTCAGGCCCTCTGCTCAATCAGATAAACAGCAGAACAGTGACTTTCTTTTCACTGACTTGGGAGCTCGTTATCTGGAAAAAAAAATGCCAAAGTTAGAAAAAAAACCAAAGTGACGTTATGACTCACCCTTACCTGGTATTGTTGCTAAGCTTTAAAGCAAACACCTGCTACCATCAACCGAATACGTGCGAAATTACTAAGATACATAAGTTCATTTTCTAAACAGATTCTACCCATGCAACTTACTTCTTGCTAGAGGAGTTTTCCAGTTGCCCAAGGCATCTGAATGCCCATTATTTCCACCCCACTTTTAAATGCTAGACTAAACCTTTGAAGTCTACTGCCTCTTGCAAAAAAATAATAATAATAAAATAAAAACCACAACACACTAGAGAGCTTTATTTTTGAGGGTACCACAGTAGCTTCCTCTCCATATGGTAACTGTAGTCGAGTGCACAAAACACAAAGCAGGTAGGAGCAGAGTAGGCAGGAAATGAAAACCAGGCTGGCTAGAAATTGGAGAAAGGCTTTAGGAAGCAATGTGACAAGGAGAAGAGAAAGTTGCAGATGGTTTTGTCTCTGAGATCAGAGCGCCTTTCTGCCACCGAAGGTGCGGCGAGCCATTCGTTCAGTGGGCAGGCAGCCAGTAAGCATTTAGTATGCTCCCACTGTGTTGGAATTAGAAGTCGTCTCTGAGTTTAGCCAGGCTCTTCCAGAGAAAGAAATCCACCCTTCCCAAGTTAAATCATCCAGATTGCCTCTGTGGCCTTTCTTGTCCTGCTTCTTGTGACAGAGGAATTCTGTTTCTGACCCGTGGAGGCCAGGGATAGACTGTCATATGGTGATTCAACTCAAGGGCAAAACTCAGGAGCCTGTGATCTTGGCCAGGATGCCCTCCTACTCACTTTCCGTACAGTGAGCTGTCACATCACTGTTTACCTCCAAATTCCAAACAGGAAGTGAGGGTTGTGATTTACTTCAAAGGGCACGGGGGGCCCTAACACTGCCTGAAAGTGAAGGTGTAAAACATTCTGCACGAGGAACATTATAAGTGCTGTTGAAACTCGATTGCCCCCGATGGAGTTTGACCTTGAGTTTTATTTTAATAGAATCAAAGCAGTAGTAGGGGAGGGATCCTTGTAAGAAAGAGTGTCTGATTAAGGCTATTTGAGTTTAGGGGCACCTGGGTGACTCGGTTGAGTGTCTGACTTCTGCTCAGGTCATGGTCTCATGGTTTGTGAGTTTGAGCCCTGCATCGGGCTCTGTGCTGACAGCTTGGAGCCTGGAGTCTGCTTTGAATTATGTGTCTCTACTCTCTTTGCGCGCTCCTCCCCCACCCCCACTCACATTCTGTCTTTCTCTACCTCTCAAAAATAAAGCATAATAAAAATTTTTTTAAAACCCACATTAGAAAAAAGACTATTTGAGTTTACATCTAGCTGGAGTAAAATACCTCTGAATCATGGACACCCCTGAAGTTCTGACAGCTCTGAGAACTAGTGGAATTAGCAAGAGACACATCATACCAAGAATAATTAAACGACCAGCTGCAGGCGGCATGGGAACTACAGACAAAGCAGAGGTCAAAGTGAGCAGGAACAGGCTTGGCCTCCTCCCTGTGGGGGCTGAGCCAAACTTGGAGAGGAAAAGCAAAAGGAAAGGCACCACAGTCAGGAGGCCCTAAGAGTGAAGTCGTGAGGCAACAGAGCTAACAGGCTTCTTGAGGACCGTGTCATGAACCCAGTAGGTGAGGAAAGTGCACTTAAGGAAGATGGCAGAGGGGCTCAGATAAAGTTACAAATGATGGAGGGGTCATTAGAGATCTTTGGAGGGAAATCAAAATATTGGAACAACTATTTTATGAAGATTAAACTGGTATCAAAATATAGAAAGTGAATGTTGGCCTCTATGCTGACAGCGTGGAACCTGCTTGGGATTCTCTCACTCCCTCTCTCTCTGCCCCTCCCCCAATCTCTCTCTCTCTCTCTCTCTCTCTCTCTCTCTCCCTCTCTTAAAGTAAATAAATAAGCACTTAAGATATATATAGAAAGGAGGTGGGGGACACAGAAAGAAGAAAGACAGAGAAAAGTTCTAGAAAGCCCCTAATATCACTCAGACCCAAAGCCCTGAGGAACTGGAGACAGGAAGGAGCTGGTGATGTAAGAGCAACATCAGAAAAGGAAAACTTTAGTGTCTGGGTGACTATAGAAGACAGAAGGGGAAGCAAAAATGAGGTGGAGATTTTGAGGCTCTGTATTTCCATCTAACATGGCAGGACTTTCCATCAAAGCCCCCTCAGCTGCCGCTATTGTCAACATCCA